ATAGACCAACCAGGTATTCTTGAAAGCAATACAGACCTTTGCTTAAAAAGGCAATACTTATCAGTTCAAGTTCAATGAGGGACCGTGCTATCGTATACTAGGATGTAGCAAGGTTGAAAGATTAGAACATGACGATCTAATGTTGACCGACCTTTTACGAACAAGATGTCAAAATGGCGAATTACATTGTCCCTTGTTCCATCAGTCGCGTGATTTTATGTCAGGGTCCAACCTCTTTTAGTCGAGACCTTCGTTCGTAGTGTGTATATCGTGTTAGGCATATGCATTCGCTCTGGTCAAACCATATAAAGGGTAGACATAGAGATTAAATATGACCAGTTCTAACTCTACCTTTCTTCATATGATTGGTTATATCTATCTTCGCTGATTAGATATATCTTCCTCTATTATAATGGGCATAATGGGAGAGATATTTCGCAGTTGTCGTGAGCAAATCACAGTCTTCGGACAACAAGCATATCCTGTGAATTATAAGAGTGCATAGAAGTTCTCACAGACAACTCTAAGTCTTGAACCACGTAGAAATGGATGTGGTGACTTTTACTTTTGCGAACTTCATTCCAGATCTTTTGGTTACGACAAGTAGAGTCGGCAACAAGAGCAAGAATGTAATACGTTAGTAAAGTAGACCTATCAATTCTGAGAAGAGGTTAAGAACGATGCATTCTAGTTTCTTGTAATATATTCATCCTCAAGCTCCAAATGCCCAATATAGCCTTCCATGTCATTTGTGTTGGGCTGTTCATAGGCTCACTCAAGTCTGGTTCTGGCAGGCTCACGGACATGAATCACGTGAATAACAGGATCCTATGGTACCAGAGACAGCTTCGGTAAATACATATGATCAAAATCTCTGATAGATCTTCCTGGGCGACGTTTGTAGCTGGGTTGGGGTGGTCACTGATGTTTATGTCGCAGAAGCAACTGCCTGGGCCTTTGCTGCCTGCGGATGGTCATGGTGTTTTTGGACCTCTGAAAGGAAATTGAGTCATGTGAAGTAGGAACCCCTACCTCACGCATATGGTTAAATTTGATGCCTCACGGTATTCTCGTGTTTCTTCTCGTTTGCTACTCGTTCATTGCATGCTCGTGGTAGTTCTTGTCTTCATATGTTCCATTAATAGGGGCGCTCTATAACGAGGAAATACCGCCAACCTCATAGTAAATATAATTAAGGCCTAACGCCAAATAGCCCAAAGTATCTTTTCGCACGCACATTCGTGTTTGTTGCCTTCTGCATTCGGCTTTTTTGTCAATGTGCATCTTGGGTGGCGGTGGTTGAGCTGGAAATCGCAACTTGGTATCACTCAACGTCTTCTATCAATATGTATGTATCCATTCGCTCTCAGTAGCTTCAGTACAATTGAGTCAAGCGTTGGTTTTATAAGGGGCGTATAGGACCTGAGTGATTCTCGTAGGCTTTACTTAGTGGTAGTTGATATAACCACATCTATGACCCTTTGGCATATCTATCATTCCAGTATACCCTTCAAGCCAACCTTTCGACATTTTCGACCCTTACGACAGCTAGTTTAGCCCATTTTTAATGGAAGTTTGCTTGAAAATATCACTGGCTGAAACACCGTACGTGTGTTGCAGTTCCATTGTCATTTGCACTCGTCACTTGGGATCCGCAACTTGGATGAAGGATCTTAGCCCCATGAGTACTACCTCACACGCGAGACATCCATCAGGACAGACCGATATAGATGCCAGTAGTCATGTTCTGCTTGACTTCGTAAGTTTTATTTTTTTTAATGCCTATTAGTTGAGCTATGTACTCAGGTGGGATACCCTGTACGTGTCTTATCGCACTCTTGCGTTTGCACGAAGTGTCACAGAATTCCATGAACATCATAATTATATTCAAGCTGATAATGTGTACAGTTGTTACGGTACCTGCCATGATACAATGCCTACCAGCTGGCTAGATAAGACTAGGTTTTCAGACTTCGGACTGACACAGAAATTATCCCTTGAACTTATACTGACCCAGCAACGAATAGACATGGCACTCAGTGATAGTATTGCTGGTACCGAAGTCGAGGGCTGTCAAGGACAGGAAAGTTAGTTCCCGGAATATGAGAATATTCGCCTCTTGGTCGTCACCCCTACTCGTGTCAAACTCACGAAGATTGATTAAGCTTGTACGGATAGCAACGGCATCACCTCAAAAAGATGAGTAAGGTGTACCACATGCAGCCACAAGATAACGAGCATGGATGATACTGCGCCACATGCATGAAAGACCTTAGTTCTCAAGGGATCATCACATTGGTAAGTTCCGGGTTAGTATGTGGCACATACGGATTGTATCTACGGGGTGTAAGAAAGTAAGGGACTTGGAGCCTAAGTGGCAGAAATTATTTAGACGAGTTTAGGGTACTATATGATAAATCAGTTGAGCTTAGCATTCTTGTTAACTAATTGTTATTGTTTCCTACCTACCAGTGATTACGGAGTACAAAGGTGTCGTAGTCTTCTTGGACCCCTAGGTCGGTATACGCAATGCGGTGTTGAAAACAGGCCTGAAACAAGACGTTGAAAACCTGAAGCACCAATTGCAGTATGAAGTTAGAAGTCTCCAAGAGTTGATGAAGCAACTTTGTCGTGATTCTGAAACAAAAGCAGGGTCTGCTGGCACAGACGATCGACTAGGGGAAAAGAAGTTTAGCTGCTGACCAACTCAGCGCTCAGCTGCACGCTGATGTAAAAAGCTACTGATTCAGGGTCTGGATTCAGCCCAAATGGTGGAAAGGTTACTCAAGCAGGAAACTGGAGTGAATATCGATGAAGCTGGAAGCAAGAATAGAATGTGGACCACATGTGCGACGTGGCTGATGTTGTCGATCTCCAAAAGGCTGTGGCAACGACGGACGAGTTGGAATTCGAAGGAGCTCTGTATTCGCACAAGTTCCTTGGCCGGCTGTGGCGGGCATCCAGAAATCTCTTGGCAAATTGGGCTTCCAAGTTTGGAGACGTGCTAGCAGCTCAAGGGAGACATGGGCCGTTGGGCCAAGGGCAAGTACTGTATGTATAATGGAATAATTGAACACATATTGAGCAGGGCATCAGTTTTATAGGGCTTTGACCAACGTCTATATTTCACATGGAGCGAGGGATGGGGCCATTTGGCAGAGGACGGGGTAAACGCGAAGGGAGTCGTCTCGCTTCGCAGCAAGAATCATGCAGGTGATTCATCGCTAGAGAGGATCATTGATATTGAGATTTGAGCATTGAGCATAAAAGCGCCACCAAAAAGCCAATGCCAAGACTGTAATTTGCTTTAGGCCGCAATTGGACGAGTGAAACGAAACGGCTGCACTACGACCCGCCTTCAATATCCTTACACAGCATTTCGCGTCAAGTTTGAGGGCATCAGTACTCAAGTTAGAGACCAATGATGATGTGAACCATGAGATGCAGAAGCCCGCGAAGCACGACGGCCGATGCAGGCCAGAAATAGACGCTATAACCGATTTCTTTAAGATCAAATTGAGGGGTGGTTGGTTTGCATCGTAAATGAGTTCATATGCACTGACTACCACCCACATCGTGACTTGCATGGCGTCTCTCTCCATCTCTATGAGGTACCCTCCAGACTTGCTGTCGATTGGTGGGGTGTGACGCTGAGAGATCAAAGCCTTATGCCAGTCTGGGTACTATTCACCGATACAAGAATGCATAGTACAAACAAAGAAAGTAAACATGGCTTTCGTTATCTGAGTCTCCAGTGCAACCTTGTCTGCCTAATCTTTGCACTCAACAACAGCTCGACCTGTGACTCGTCTAGGCTTGGATACTTGACTTCAATATGATGCCATTCCACCCTTCAGTCCCTCCCTCTTGAACAGACCATACATTTTTTGAACAAGCTTATCGACCCAGAGCGCGAGAAGAGGTTGCCTCATGCCTGCAACAGCAATCTCATTGACCCCGGCTTCATCAAGCGTGGCCCATCGCAATTTGATGACCCGAGCCAATCACTAACTGCAAATATGTTAGCGTGTACTCGAAAGCCCGCTACAACAGCCACTCAGCGGCCATTTAGCAGCAGGTACCTGCGTTTTAGTTAGTGACCGGGGAATAGCGAGACCGCATCTTGATGCCCATGAGCGTAAGGTTGGCGTGGGGCCACCTTAACAACACAACATGCAGAAGCCGACGCAGAAGCAGAAACAGAAACAGAGAGTCATCAGCAGAAGTACCTTTGCGCCTAGGTACTAAAGTAGGTAGGGAACACGGGCCAAGGCTACCGGACTCGACTAACGGAACGAATTGGAACTTGCCATCCAAGGAAACCCTGCTGAGTTCCTCCCTGCTCGCCTGCCCTGGCCTGGCGTAGACGGGGCTTTCAATGTGATGCGACCCTGGAACTGGGTGTCCTCCATCGCTGAGACTACCCAAAAACCTGCTAGAGGTCGTTATGTTATATTGGCTCTTGCCGCATCTCTTTCGCGTGCGTGTGTGTATGCCAACCATCTCTTCCTGTATCAATCAGCCCGTGAACGTCACGATCTGACCTGCTTTGGATATCGCATCTTGGATCATAATTATTCTCACCAAAACCAATTTGTTATTAATTGTTATCCGCAGCATCTCCAGCTTTGTCGCAAATCTCCTACATTCTCGATTGAGGAGCTGGACACACCGCGAAATTACAGCTTGTCGTTCCACCAGCCACCCGCAGCCCCGTCCTAGCAACGACACCGTCAAGTCAACCACCGCACGAACACTCGCTTGACCAGGGGCCGAGAAAATCCTCTTTCCTTGTTTCTACTCTACATCTTCATCTTTGATTTATCTGTACGAAAATCCGACGAAAACTATACGATTCAACGTCCTCCCGAATTTCCTTTGTCTGCAATTCTGTTGCTCGGCCGACTCCAACCTCGAACTCAACCAACTCTACTCTCCCCAATTGTGGTTGCTTGTGGATGCACCCCCTTTGATCAAGGAGCTTCGCATCCGCAATCACAATGGGGTCTACCGAATTTGGAAATTTTCATGTACGCCCTCGATTTTCTGTTGTTCAACAGAGTTCACGTTCTAATTTATGTGCAACAGGACTTCTGCAGAGATTCGACTCTCCCAGTCTGTAATGTATGTCAGACCTTCCTACCTACTGCCTACGCCATACCTTGTCATGTGGAGTCGGGAACAATGGGGACCTTACTGATCGTCGATAGCTTCTATCCCAGAACCACGATCAGAATGGCAATTGGGGAGGTTGCGAGCTCACGGGTATCTCCCTGAGCGGAGGACGACATCTTGGAAATTTAGGATCAATCCTCCTCGCCGGAGCTGCCATTGCTACTGCCGTCTTTCTCCTGTTGCGATCCGAGAAGAAGCGGGCTGCCGTTGGTCGACGGGAGATGCAAATGTTTCTCATCGGCTACATCATCATCAGTATATGCGAGATCTTTTCAGTAGGAGAGTTTCCACTGAATAGCACCGTGAGAATTGTAAGACCGCGACTCTTTTCTGCTGATTCTCTTTCCCTACATAGTGTGCTAACAAGATCAGGCTTTCTCTGCTATCCATATTGGCATGATTATTGCCACATGTTGGATTTTAATGCTTAATGCCGTTGTTGGATACCAGATCATCGACGATGGAACGCCACTCTCGATCGCTCTAATTGCCATCTCGGCTCTTCTGTTGCTTATTGGAACTGGCTATATCGCCCTCGACACTGGTTTCTCGTGGACTGGTTACTGGGACGATAGCTACGATGCTCCCAGGAACCGAAACATCGCCCTCTACGTCCTTTACCAACTTGTCCCTCTAATCCTCCTCGTCGCCTTCCTTGTTCTTGAGGCTATCCTAGTAATTCGAATTTTGGGCGAGACACGTCCTATGATTTATCTTGCCGCCGCAGCTCTTCTTTTCGCCATCGGTCAGGTCTTCAACTACGCGATCAGCAAGTATATCTGCGACGGTACGAGTGGAAAGATCGACGGCGCCCTTTTCCAGACGCTCTTCACCCTGTTATCCGTTATCATGGTCTGGGTTTTCTGGTCCAGTATTACTGAGGACGACTGGCCCATGCCGGTCACCAACACCTACCCCTGATGCGGCACGTGAGCATTTTGGTGGTATTTTTCTTGGGACGGCGTTCAGTGGCGTATCTTTTTTATTCGGTTTCGATATCCCTCATTACACTCGGCGGCCGAGCTCACGGTCGAACGACGCACATACGTTGACGAATACGCTGTTTTCTGGAGTAAAACGAAGTTGATTTTCATTTGGGTTGTCATTTGGGTTGTACGGACATGTATGCGACGCAACTCGATAGACCGGTGGTTGGGTATTTACATGAAGAATTATCTGCGAATCATGGTGAGATATGGAAGGAGGATCGCGTTGCAGTCTTGCCAATAGGCCTGGATCTAAGAACGGTTGTTGAGTTGTATGGTTCTACGTACTGTCGTGGAATAACTTGTTATACGCCAGCTTGGATATAGTATTTATTAGTTCTCGACTTCGAAGTTATACCCTGATGAGCGACTAATGCATAAGAAATCGAAGTTAATTTAAAAGCTGAAGGAAATCTTTTTGAAAATCGGATGAACTGTTAAGCTAACCCTGCCCCAATATCAGCTATGTGATTATCATGCTATGTCGTGATGTTTGTCATAGGTAGGTATTGTAACAGTTGGTCGCCACAATACACCGCAACCAAGCTTCTTCCTGCGACTGGGCGATTGGCTAGGCGATTGGCTAGGCGATTAACTCTAAAACGTCAAGAGTGGATCTTCTTAGGCAAGGCTGCAAACCTCTCTCAGCCTTGTGAACTTGATTCTGTCACCATCATCAACATTTTCATTGTTCTGCTCTTATTTAACATTATTCCCTAAGCAAGCCATCGGCTTGCTTACGACTTTATAACTCGATTACCTCACCAAATCCGCTCTCGGCCTCTTCGTCTTTTGACCAAAGCACGGTCCAAACAACCACGACCATGGCCGACTCTGACGGCGAGTATGTCGCCGACATGTCGGACGATGATCTCATGGATCACCGCGTCACAGACGACGATCCTCAAGCGGCGAAAGGAAAATCGGCCAAGTCGAGAAAAGGCGACTCAGCTAGAGCATGGGAAGTCTCGAAACGAACTTGGGAGACGAATCTACCAGAGGAAGAAGATGGAATACTAAGTCTCACAGCGCTTGAGGCCGAGAAGCGGAAGCGACTACTACGTGATACGACGCCCCTACAAAGAGGAATCATTCGACATATGGTGCTTGTGCTGGATATGTCCTTCGCTATGACAGAGAAGGATCTGCTACCTACAAGGTATCGTCTCATGCTGAGCTACGCGGCAGCCTTCGTGCGAGAGTTCTTTGAACAAAATCCTATTTCGCAACTAGGAATTATTGGTATGCGAGATGGAGTTGCTGTGAGGATTAGCGATGTTGGAGGAAACCCGACAGAACACTTGGAAAAGCTAAAAGGGCTGGAGAACGAAGATCCCCAAGGCAATCCAAGCTTGCAGAACGCTCTGGAGATGTGTCGAGGAGCTCTGTTGTGAGTTTCTAATTGGGCCACGATAGAGGACCAGTCGAACTAACTTGCTATAGCCATGCGCCTTCTCACGGCACACGAGAAGTACTTATTATCTATGGCGCATTACTATCCAGCGATCCCGGCGATATTCATGAAACCATTGGCAACCTGATAACGGATCGGATACGTGTCTCGATTGTCGGTCTTTCCGCCCAGGTAGCTATTTGCGCTGATCTGTGCTCACGAACGAATGCCGGTGATGAGTCACAATACAATATCGCGATGGACGAGGTCCATTTCCGCGAACTTTTCCTCGCAGCCACGACACCCCCTGTGACACGCACGGCGGAACAGAGCACAGCCAGTCTTCTCATGATGGGCTTCCCGTCCCGAACACTTGTTCCTAACGGGACTACAAGTTACTGCGCGTGTCATAATCGGCCGTTCCGAGAGGGATATCTCTGCACCCGCTGTGGCGCTCGTGTGTGCCGCATACCGGCTGAGTGTCCAGCTTGTGACCTCACCCTTATTCTATCGACTCACCTTGCCCGCTCATATCATCATCTCTTCCCGTTACGAAATTGGGTCGAGGTGCCCTGGACTAGAGCCAACCGCTCTGCAGCCTGCTTCTCATGCTTAGCGCCATTCCCTGAGCCACCAAAGGGCAAAGCACCCGACAAGTCTAGAGAAGACAGTGGCGCACCAAAGACAGCCAAGGGCGTCAGTGAAAGTGGGCGATATGCATGTGAAGTGTGTGGACAACACTTTTGCATCGACTGTGACGTCTTTGCCCATGAGGTTGTCCACAACTGCCCGGGCTGTCAGAGCTTATTATCTAAGACAGATATCGCTGCCTCATCGGGTGAGCCGAACGGCACAGCTGCATACACCAACGGTGATGTTGTAATGACATAGAGGTTGAGACTATATGTGTGTAAAACTATGTGTCATTATGTGTAGCTTAAGATAAGAGAGAAAGGAGGTTGTTACCCCAGGAGCGAACAAAAGAAGAGGCAACATTCATCCATGTCGTAAATAATGCTAGTAAGCATCGCACATGACGACCTGGAAACGACGCATTAGGAACTAAAGTTTCTGTGAAGTTTTATTGCATTTCAGTCTAATTATCCCGTGGGCAAATGGCTTGTAGGCACTGGTGTGGTATATCGCTGTCCAGTATTGAAATAATGACATGCCACCAGACACGTCTCATGCTCCAACGAAATATTGGTTATCCTTGAGTCCTCATGCAATATGGGCTATGTATATGCATATGTGACGCAATTTTTATTTCCCCTCATTGATATGCCCCATCTCAGAGACATCCCTTTTACAGGTTGCCACGCTCAGCTTGCTCACGCTCAATAGCCTCGAACAAGCTCTTAAAGTTACCAGCGCCGAAGCCGTCGAAGTCGTTGCGCTGAATGATCTCAATGAAGACTGTGGGTCGGTCCATGAGGGGCTTGGTGAACAGTTGAAGCAGGTAACCACCCTCATCGTAGTCGATTAGGATGTTGAGGCGCTCAAGAGTCTCAAATTCCTCCTTGAGCTCCCAGTTGCGACGCTCTGTCTTGAGACGGTGGCGCATGTCAGTGTAATATGAAGGTGGAACGTCGATGAACTCAACACCACGAGCGCGTAGGGCTGAGACGGCAGTGATGATATCGGGAGTTAGAAGTGCAATATGCTGGACGCCAGGTCCAGAGTTGAAGATGACGTACTCCTCAATCTGGGACTTCTTCTTGCCGAGAGCTGGCTCATTGATGGGCATCTTAACAATGTTGTTTGGTGAAGCCATGACAACGGAGCTCAGAGCTGAGAACTCGGTACAGATCTGTGAATCGTCCACAGACCAAAAACGGTGGAAGGACAGACACTGCTCGTAGAAAGCGCAGGCCGAGTCCATCTCGTTCCAGGACTGGTTACCGACGCAGTGGTCGATGCGGGCTAGGGGAACATCTGGCAGAGACACAGTGGCCCTGTGCTTCTTCCAGATTCGGTAGCCAGGGAGGAAGGGCCCCGTGTAGTTTTGACGCGAGATGAGGGTATGGGTGGTGTCACCATATGTGCATATGACGGCTGTGGAGACGGAGCCATGCTCCTTGTCCTTGCTGACCTTGGGGTCTTGGACAGCAATAGCACCCTCCTGAACCGCCTTGTGATATACTCCGTCGACATTTTCGACCTCAAAGGCAACATCCTTCACGGCGTCGCCATGGCGTTCGAGATGAGCGTACATCTCCTTGAGAAGCTTTCGGTCCGACTTGGAGATAGGTTCGTCGTCTGGGAAATGAGCTTCTGATCGCAGAGGCGAGGTGAAAACGAAGCGGACATCGTTGTTCTCAATGACATACGAGGCAAAGTATCGGCTTCCAGTCTCGAGTCCCTTATATGCGATGGGCTTGAAGCCAAAAAGATTGGTGTAATATGAGGCAGCCTGTTTGGCATTGCCAACCCACCAGGTTATGTGGTCATAGCCGGTGAAGTTAGGGGGCGGCTGAACCGCAAAAGTGTTGTCTGCTTGGTCGAGGGCAGGAGTGATAGGAACAGTAGTAGGCTGAGTTGCCTGCTGAGGAGGGGAATTGGTGATGGCAGAAGGGGACATTGACACACAGACGGTTTGATGGATGAGTCTCTGATATCAGAATAGAGTAAACGTTTGTTTGAGGCTTGTGTTTTAGGGTCGAATTGTTTCCGTGTGGTGGCTTCGAGAAGCAAGGTATGCAGGAAATTGTTGACTGACTTAAGCTGATGGCTATGGATGAGATGGGGGGCTATAGACAAATATATGTAAGAAATCCCAATTTGATTCAAGCCCGGCTTAACCATGAAGCAACAAGTATTGCTTGTTTCTTTGTCATTTCTCACACGGAACGGCTCCGCCTGGAGAAGGCATTATACGGCCCAAGACAGGTCTGCCAGGATAAGCAGGAGATAGCTCATACCAGTCATATCCATCGGTAACATCCTCGTTGGCTTTCAGAGTTTCAATGAAACTGGGAACCAATGGGGTTTGCGGCGTAAGAAAGCAAAGCCATGCCCGTCATGGCAGGGTTAAGGGTCACGCGCGGGGCTTCCGCGTCAGACGGCTGTCTGATTGATATCATCAAAAGAGCCAAGAGAGCCCAATTGATCGATCTCAAGGGCGGTAGTGCCGAAGGTTGTTGATGGTGGTTGTGAGGTTATCACTGCGGAACTTCCCCGGCCGAGTGTCCCGTTGCGGCGCCAGCCGCCCCAAGCCGACATTGGCCGACTCCTTCCAGAAGTTCCAATACGGCTTAACAAGCACTCTATGGCGACATGCCCTGTGATGGACTGCGGAACTGTCAGCAGCAAAGCCGGCCGAAACATCCTTGCGGATAAGAGATGCGCGACAATGGAGGAACTAGTCGCCAGAGTATCGATCATCTCCCGCTAAAGCCGAGACGCCTCTCAAGCAGGTCGGCTTATCCAGCATACCCATAGCAGGAATGGTATTTAGAACACTGAGCCAGCCCTTTTCAGTGCCATGTCTGTCGCTCAACACGTCACATCAAATCCCGAACGTTCCAAGATCTACACCTCCAGAGGTAGTTTCCTGAATCTATCGTTCTCGCCAAATAGCAGAATCGCAGGTCTCAAACTGAATCACTGAGTCATTTTTATCTGTCCAGCCACTGCTCGACAACAGTCGAAATGGCATCTGCATGCTTAAGCAAACACGATATCAATATCCTCGAGAAAATCAAGGATCCGGAGTCAAACCCATATGCTGGTATCGTTCTCGACTCCTCATTACCACGGGACCCAAACATTACAGATGCCACGATATATGAGCGAGTAGTCGAGGGGGAGCGAGACATAATTCGTTCCATCCAGAGACTTGAAATCCAGTTGAAGAGTCTTGGATCTGAAGAAGTGAGAGACGCTGCTGTCAAGGGTTATCAGCAAAGCCTTTTGGCGGTTGAGAGTATCATCGCTGAGCATCCCAACTACGCCAGCGCCAGAAACAACCGTGTACAGATCCTCAGGCGACTATACGGAGATGCGATGATGCTCTCCGATACCAAGGACAACTCCGCGCCCTTAATAGAGTCACCCACCCAGGCGGAAAGAAAAAAAGCTGTTGTGACAGCATTGAGCGATATCGAAACGTCAATCGCACTCCTCAGCCCTTCGTCACCAACCATACCTATTTCTCCTCAGGTCGCGCGCACTCTGTCTATGGCTCACACCCAAAGAGCTGCATTATATCTGAAAACAGCCAGACTAATGCTAAGTCGTTCCTTGGATATAGATGGGACCCTTGAAGAATCCAAATGGGAAAGGCTCGATTTTGAGGGTGCCGCATCTCGAGACCTGGCATTTGGTGGGAGGTATGGAAATCCAATTGCAAAGGGTTTGGCCGTGAGTGTCAACCCAACGGCCAAACTCTGCGGACAAATTGTTCGGGAAGCGATGAAGAAGGAATATGGTCCATCTTTCGGTGACTAATTGCATGTATATAATGAGACAGAATATCCAAAAAAGGCTTGACATGACATTATCATCTTGGAAGTTCGCAAAACCAGTAGTGACTCAAGTGCCAAAGCAAGCCCAGATATGATTACGAAGACTTGGAAGAAAGTCCAACTCGTCTATGTTGTTAATCAGTGTTTATCCTATTGCCAGCTAATCATTTGTGGGATTACCGTCGTGCAGCTTCAAGAGTCTGTTGAGTTGTTTGACCTTTGTCCTTTTCTTCACGGTTGATTCTGGTTGCAGCGGCTGAAAGGCCAATCAAAACACCGAAAATTGGATCCGCAGCGCGGGAGATGATATATGTCGGTGCAGGCATCGTGATATACCTATCTTATCAAGTACATGAACAATGATGGAGGTGAGGTGGCTCAATGGAGGAGCTTTGCCTAACTCCCACCCACCCATACAATTGGAGCCACCAACGACTGGAGCTTAGGTAATACAGAATGAGTGCCTCGAAAAGTTCAGGGCAGGTCCTCATGCACGGACCCCTCACACAGGACACCTCCGAAAAATGGAAGGAACCTTGTCATGTGACTAGCTGGGTCTCGCTTGCCACCAGCCCACACAAAATATTTTGGTGCGTAATTTGAACTTGTCTTGACAACTCCTCGCAACTTCACTAACCAGCAGACAACACACCGCCGGACAAGATGAAGTTCCTCAAGGTCGGCCGAGTCGCCATCATCACCCGCGGCAGATACGCCGGAAAGAAGGTACGACCTCGACAGATTTTATACTGCTATTCCATGGCATTTCCCGAGTTCTGCGGCATCCGAGCAAGATAGGGTCGAGGGAAGGGATTGAAACGAAGAGGTCGTTGGTGTTTTATATGACAAGACGCGGAGCGCAGAACTCGCTGGAATACTATGATGGGAGCCGATCTTGACTATTGTTTTCTTCAAGGAAACATCTCGCTGACTCAATTGCTTTAATTAGGTTGTCATCATCCAGCCGGTTGACAACGGCAACAAGCCTCACCCTTTCGGTCACGCCCTGGTTGCCGGCATTGAGCGATACCCCTCCAAGATCACCCGCCGCATGTCCAAGACCCGCCAGGAGAAGCGAAACAAGATCAAGCCTTTCATCAAGGTCATCAACTACAACCACTTGATGCCCACTCGCTACACCCTGGAGCTTGAGGGCCTCAAGGGCGCCGTCTCCAACGACACCTTCAAGGAGGTTTCCCAGCGCGAGGATGCCAAGAAGACTGTGAAGAAGGTGCTCGAGGAGCGATACACCAGCGGCAAGAACCGATGGTTCTTCACCCCTCTCAGTATGTTATCCCATCGCTGCGCTATACCACTCGAGCGGAGCTCCATGAAAACCCGCCGAGTACTCTTGGGATTTACATAAATTAGAGCGTTGCTAACCACCCACCACAGAGTTTTAAAAAAGGAATCGTTTCTCCATCACGGTTAGGGAGTTGGCGGGATGTACAGAGCATCGATGGCACTAAGGAACGCCGGTTTTTATGGGCTCAATATGAAGTTTCTTAAAACACAACCAGATCTCTACTTGCCGCGTGATTGTAGCGTCAATATACAACGCGGATCGGACGGATGTGTTGTCCCGACCGAAGGATACCACTGGCGGCGTTCAATGAATTGATGCCATCAATGGGGTGTTGAATAGACCTTGAGGACTTTTCTTGACGGTTAAACGTCTACGAGGTTTACGAAATCCATAACATGAATTAAAATTTACCGTCAAAACGTACATTAGACACAGAAACGCAGAGCCCGGTGAAATGAAAGAGAGACGATAGATCAATGAACTTTTGTTATGGTAGGTTTTTCTTAACCGTTTCGTTTCTACATGTCTATGGCCAAACGCCGTCTAGAGTTACACATCAATTAGACCTTTCGTGATGCGGTTCATGCATAGGACCGCTACCTCGCGCTCTGCGCCGAGCTCTATGGCTTTACACTTCATAAGTAAGACCCCTCCTTCCCCAATCAAACAGAATATATCAAAAAGTCTCCAATCCACAGAAAAGTGTGCCAAGTCAATCCGACTGTGGACACATTCGGACCAAGTTCAATAAACTTGGTTGGGCGTAATACATAAGGAAATAACGGATATAGAAAAGAGGTTCCTTAGATCGCCATTCGCCCCGTCAACTAAACGTTCGGGTCTTGCTTCACATTGAGACCGTATAATACAGAGCTCTAGACGTGCTGAGCATCGTTGATGCCGAAACGGTTAGACACCTCATTGGCCAGTCTGGTGGGATCAACCTCTGAGGAGTAACCGGGAGCAAGACCACCGAAGAAGGTGAAGATGAGGAAAGCGGTAGCAATGATGATAGTGACCTTGCGGAGAATGGGCTTGCGAGCACCAAACTCAGCCCACTGTCGGTTGGCATCAGCAATGTGGCCCTTGATCTGCTCGTAGCCGAGCTTGTAGTAGACCATGCCACCAAGAGCAATGGAGTAACCAAAGAATTGGAGACCAGTAACCTGGGTGCCCCAGATCATCATGGAGGCAATGACCAGGAGAATATCCTTAAGAACACCGCAGAGTGTGAGGACGACAGCAGAAGTCTTGCCAATCTGATAACCTCGTTAGTATCAAGTTGCGTAGCAACTTCCAAGGAAAACATACCAGGAATACGACGGAGACATTGAGCAAGAAAGCGCAGAGACCGTTAAGGAAGAAGGTGAACAGACCAACGTGGTAAACTTCGGCCATCGAGCACCTGGGGATCTCCCAAATAAGAGCAACCACACCGTTCATGACAGCGCAAATGGGAGCAAAATAGTACAGAGAGACGAGAGGGTCCATCTTGTAGTCAGCAGAGCTCAACAGGCGCTGGACCATGGTAAGTCGCAGAGCCTCAAAAATGATACCGCCCATCTGGAAGAGCACACCAACAGTGACGAAGTGAATCTCGCCCATGGAAGCAATGATGACACCGACAACAATAGCGGAGACATTGAGGAACTGCTTGAGATTGGGAGCAGAAACACCAAGAATCCAGCCAGAGATGAGAACGGCGACGGGTGTGGTAGCCTTGAGCATCTGGATGAAAGCAACAGAGAGGTACAGATATGTCAAATTTCCGCAGATCAAACTCAAGCTGAAGAAGATACCGATGGGAACAACGGCACGGACGTAAACGCGAGCTGTCATCTTGACGGTCTTGCGGCCGTCAAGGTAAGGAGTCCATCGCGCCATAATCTGAGTGATGACTGTCGCGAAGGTCAAGTGGTAGGTCGTTAGAATGACGGGGTAGCCTGGGAGTCGAGATGTCAGCAAAGGAGCAGATATACAATAATGTTGAAAAACGTACGGAAGTTGAGAGTATCGAGAAGCCATTTGTTGAACAAGATGACGGACGATGAAAAACCAATCCATGCACTGCACAATGTGGTTAGTAACGGTTCTGGCGCATCGTCAAGTCACTTCGTGGGATAATCGAGAAAACTACTGACATAACATAGAAAGTAGGATGAACTGAAGCGCGAGCAGACTGGGACTTCTCGAGACCGGGGTTAACCGTTGGAAGAACAGGAGTGGTCGCACGAGGCGTCTCGCCCGAGACGCGGATCTTTTCGTCAGCCGACATTATGATTAATCTGGTTGTTGGTGATGTAAAGGATGCGATTGTAGATGGTTGAGGCTGTCGGCGAGAAATTTCGTGGTTGTAGATAAGAGACCCCTTGAAGACAGATTTTAGGGGGGACGCGCAAACGAGCGGACGGACAGCCGAGTCCTGTAATGGAATAGAATCGGAAAAGGCGAGGGGTGCTTGATATGCAATTTGGCGGGGCCCAGGAGAGACAAGATCTCAAAGAAGAGAAAAAAGGCGAAAAGAGGTTGATCTCCTTGGACTTTGGTTCAAGGTGGCCTGGTTTCGCAAGGGATAAGGCAAAGAGAAAGACTGAAGAAATAAGGCAGCAAGACAAGAAGTCGTCGAGAAGAAGAGAGAGGGAGGAAATGAAAAAGGGAACGAGAGGGATGAAGAAGGGTACTTTAGTTGGTAAAAGGGGAATAGGCAATGTTGACTAGATCTCCAAATCTCATCCAGGGGTGTGGTGTGGGCTATTATTGTTATTTTGGTTGGAGGCAAGGCAAGCTAGGAATCGATCAAGGGTGAGGCGCGGCAATCAGAAAATTATTATGGAAGGGTTTTCCCCTCTGAAATTGGCATTTTGATGCATATTAGTGGAGGAGCCACAAAGTTCAGCACAGGTGGCCGACCCTGCAGTGACTGACTAGCACTAATAAGCCCTCAGCCAGTTGAACACGAACAAAGTGGATGACGGGAACGAGACAACTCTCATGCTCAGGTACTGGTACCCCCAGCCGTGTGGCACCCGAAGCCTGCAAAAGCTGATTTGACGCGTGTACAGGGGCAACAGCTGGAGGGATGCAAGGTACTATGTACAGGCATGGGAGCTGCAACAGGAACTGGCTGATGTTGTTCTATTCAGGGGCATCCGCTAGTTACGGTCGAGCCAAGCCTGGCGAATCATCCCGCCCACGTTGCTCCAATTTTCGTTGCCAGATAAGCTGAGGGGTCTTTCGCACTGTGCGCTTACTGCATTTCGATGCGAATCTGGACTTTATGATGGTGGTGAAAGTTCAAGGGAGGAATGTTTGTGGCTGAATGGCTCAATTCTACATACATACTAACTAACTACCTATTGTGTGTAGAGTCGTAGGCCTCAACCAGGGACAAAAAGAACAAACGCATGCTAGATTGAGTAGTTCTGCCGTTCCATCAGCACTCTTCCTTTAATAGCTGTCAGTTTCTAGAAGAGAATATCTGTCTTCGAGACTACTGTCGGCTCAGCATCTACCCTCAGAGTCTCACTGTCAATGATGGAGACTTCACACCCCGCCCCGGTTGAGCGAACCTCCAACTGCCGGAACCATCTCGAATTTGGACGTTTTCGTCTAAATACTATCGGGGAAGATCTAGATCCTGTCTAGGAAAGGAAACAAACCCAGAAATAAGAAAAGTGTGGTTCACATAATATATGGGTTCCTTAAAGTTCACAAGCTATTCTCTTGAGGCAATTAATACGGTCTATCGATTCCTCAGACTGCGAGGCTTCATTCTTGCATTCCCATGACATTGACGGTCTGGCCCTCACTTACACGGTCTATATTCGTACAATACTCCTCGACCAGAAACATACGTCACTCTAATCTCGTCTCGGTTTGCACCTTGGCCATGAGCGGCAGGTATTTAACACGCAGCATTCTTTCTTCCTTCCGCGGCACGGAATGGTTGACCTTATAACCTCCAAGGTACTATACAGAGTCGGTACTAGGTAGGTTATACTCCGTACGTAACTACATACA